TCCGCATCCAGCAATCCATCTCGGACAATCCCCAATTCTCCTTCATAGCCGCGTTATTTTACGGCTTATTTTGAGGCCGCGTTCCCGCTGGTCTTCTTCGTCGACGGTCGTACTGCCAACGGCCAACTCAGGAAAATGCCTTGAGCTTCTTCCGGGATATGTACTTCCCGGACGACTTCCACCGCGCCGATGGATCAAAGACCGCCGACCTGATTAATAATGCTACCCTTGCAATCTTCTCTGCCCACCCCACGCAACCAGGTGGAAATAAAGGAGAGGTTAATACCTATACCTTGGACCCCAATTCCGCCGATTTCGGCGACCTTTGCAAGCTGTATACTGACTTCGTTAACGTAACCGTTCGAAGCCTTTATCTGAGCACTCAAGGAGCCTTAAGGGTGAATCTCAATGCCAACCTCGATTTCCTCTTCCAGGCGTTCGATGGATGTACTCAAATATTCCCTTATGGCTATTGAGACGGATCTGACTTATGCCTTTTGTCTCCATAAAAGACGGTTGCATTGAGACCATATATGTTATTGATCTTCGTCTTCTCGTAATTTACTGAAAAATCAGAATACTGTAGGGTTGAGAGACGTGAGTAAGCTTTCATAATAGGACAAGCCTCAAGCCTCAATAGAAATTCGAGGATCAATTCTGGATCATGAGTCATGGCGTGGAAGGAGTTAAGTACCGGTCTGGTACCTGCGAGAGGTCCACAAATCTGAGACTCCATTGGGCTTGCATGATACTACCGCTCCAAGATCGTCATGCAATATTGAGTATATTCTAATTACCAAACTAGAACCAGACGCGATCATGAATCCTCGACACATTCACTGAATACGGTGGCCAATCAGTCAAACAACGGCTTTGAGCCAGATGAAGTACTGGCAAGAACGTGTCAAGGAATCAGACGTCAGATTGCCAGCCTTGGCTACGAAAATAATTGCATAAATATTGAGAGAAATTAGTCGGCACACTTCGACTGCGAATTGCGATAGCGACGGACTCGGAGAGAAAAGACAAGGCAGACTCCGCTGCTTCCAAACAATGAGACTCGTATAAGATAAATAGTACTCGAGTAGGAGTTCTGGAGAACGATGCGTATTAGATGTAGGCATGATCCTCGACGACAGTTAATACCGATAGGGTTTGTATCAAGGAAGACTTACCTTAGGCAAGTAAGATATTGAGGTTCCTGATAGTTGCCAATCCGGTGTCGAGGGACGGCTATAACATCCATAATAATGGAGCACGAGGATGGAAAGCAATCCCGGATTTATCCTGTTTGATCGACACCTTTCAAGTTGTACTAGTATTACACTGGTAATGAGCGAGATTTAAAGTTGAGGAAGGAGAATAACAAAGAAAACGTACAGTTTTGAATAATAGACTGGGAAGGTATCAAGGTACGATCCTCCAGGGCTCGAAGAGCCTTACATGCATCACGTCCAAATCCGACCTTTGACTCTAAAGCCAGATACGTCCTGATGAAGGCTTGTAGATGTATCGAGGAACGGCCACATGAATAACGACAGCGAGAAAGGAAAGTGTTGAATATGAAAGGATATACGAGTTTCAAATAAACCGGATTAAAATAATGAAGAGGAATAAATCCCTGCGTAAGAGGATTATTAGCGTGAGTGAAGAAAATGAGTAGTGAATGATACGAGGGCACGATCCTCGACAGCTGAATCGACAGTGGACCAAATCCAAATCTAACCCTTGTTAACTTCAAAGGTAGAGTAACTGCCTGGAGGTGATTTGGTCAAGAGTCCTGTCTAGGAGCTACCATGTGACATAACGATGGAGAGAACACTGACAGCGTAAAGGAAGAGACAAGCACGAATGCCCGAGAGCAATGGCTCTCATCAGCGAAAAAATCAACAATCTCCTTCGAAAGGTAAGATAGACATTGACTAGCTGATGAGACCAGTGGCACTGCCCTCGAGGGTAGTCGGCTATAACAACGAAGAAAGAACTATACGACAGATCCTCGACACGAAATGGAAGAACCCACAATTAAGGTTTGCTAATTCCAAAGGGAAGATATTCCTTGATATATCAGACTGGTGTCGCGGAGCGTGCATAACGCTGGAGAAAAGGACAAATACTCTGCATGATGTTCGTTAGCTGAGTGCGAGCTGTGAGCATGAGGGTCGACTCGACAAACCAAAGACGAGTAACCTTGGTTACCGCCTACTACGGTTGAAATGCATGGTATCCAGAATTCACACTAGTTAAAATGAGAGTAGCAAGCATTCCACAGATGCAGAAGGAAGACTCTAGAATGCCATGGAAAATACCCCGCCCGACGTCGTCGTCTGCTGTCCACCGCATCCAGCTCCTAAAACTACCCTCAGAACATAGTCTCGTGGCATCCATCCACCTTCGAGAAAAACCGTTACCATGAGAAGGAGGTGGTGGTGGTGGTGGTGGCGTATTTGCCGGACTAGATCCCAAAAAATGGAAACGCCAGGGGCTGTACGTACACTCTATGACTAAATTACGCCACATCGTGCCTTATGACTAAGCTATTGTCACTCGTGATGCACTACAGGCATGACACGGCCAACCAAGGTCAGGATGATGTCAAGCAGCGATGTTGGGCAGCTCCAATGCACAGTCAACACGGTCCCTTCAGAGAGTCCGAGCATGGGGCATACCACCCTGCTTCTACATACTTTTTTTCCGATTGCACCCTCTCACGCAACAACCATCACGCACCTCCACCTTCGGCCCATCCCAAGCCGCAGTGGTACGGTTTCAACGATTTTGAACACCCGATGCACATATTGACCCCGGAGAGGCAGCAGGGAGGGCCGTGATAGCCATGTGACTACGCCTTGTTTATCCGGAACAGCTGTAATCGCCATACAACACTCCTCAGGTCTCCTTACCATGGTCCAAATCGACGACGATGGCAAGGTTTTACCTCCTCTATCCAGCGAGACTCTGTCACTAAGGGAGGCAGAGATAGCCTCGCTACAAGTACTTGCGTTGCGCACAAAAAAAGCCTAGAAGATTTTGAAGCTGAGATAGCTTCTCATAAGCATCAGTGGCAGGTCCTTCTGGCACAACAAGCGGAGTTGCGACACGCTTATGATCACACCACTACACTTCTCGCTCCCATCCATCGTCTTCCATACAAAATATTGCGTCCGACTCTTCGTATATCATGTCCTAGCTTATAAACTCCTAAGGACGGCAATCTGTCATCCTGCACAGTACGCGATTTCATCAAGGCACGGTTAGAATTGCTGTTAATCTGCAAGCGATGGGCACGCATTTTCAAGCACATGCATTCCATTTGGTCCAGATTTTATGGCTCCATGGTTTTCCTATCCGCTTACTGAACACTCCATTTAACTTTCAAAGTCACACCATTCGACGTGCACCTCTTTGGTCAATTGATGTTCAAGTCGCATCCCACCTGAAAAGCATCTCCGTACCTATTACGCAACAACCTTGGACAAACTCGCCTTTTATCTGTTGGAACCGCTGAAGCAATCCATGTGATTAAATATTTCAGTGGACGGCTGTGTTTATGCCTGCATTAGGGGTGCTTCGTGTGGGTGACGGATCTCCATCAATCATAGGTTCTTTGGTCGCCATCCACACGCCGAATTTAATTCCACTTGATATTGTTTCAAGCTATGGGTTTCTCGATCGCTTCTCACCAGATTCTCTACAGAATCTTCAGAATTTGAAGGCGACATCGTTGGATCTAAACACCCTTTTGAAACTTAGCAAAGCAGCATTAAACCTCAATATTATCGACATCCGGACCTGTAGCGGCCTTTGCGAAGTCACCACCCGACATTGATCTTCACAATCTGCGTTCACTCTCTATGTCCAGTACGAGAGTTCTCTGCATCCCTCCCACTCTACGGTGCCTTCGGATGCCTCAACTTCGCAGGCTGCACCTAGAATGTGTCCAAAATGATGCTCAAGGAGTTCCCGGTCCACTGGTCTTCTAGTGGTCCAAACTCGAAAAATTTCAGCTAAAACAATTCTTTCTGGCTCCCTTCAAGAAACAGCATGAAGCACTATTCAAATCCGTGCCTTCATTGAGGTGTCTTTCTCTAATGAGATGTGCCATATCCGTGGATTTCTTTGGCCATATTACAGAGATGTCCTGGACACAAAATGTATGTTCAAAGCTGGAAGACCTCTCTCTCAGAAATGAGTGCATCTTGTGATGATCTTATACTACTCATTGTTTCACGTACTCGAGGCGTACATACGAAAGTATCATTCAATATATACCTCAGTGACTCGGACAATGTCTCATTCCTAACGGAGGGAAAGTAGACATTTCCCTCACTGTCGAACACAGATCAACTGAAATATCTTATTGACGCTTTCTCGGCAGTAATATGGATAGAAAAGGTTCCAGGATTTGATGAAGAGTAAGCACCAGTTATCATATGGCGCACCAGTGAGTTCGTCTACTAGTTCTATCACTACTGTGAGATAACCTAGGTTGTCCCTTCACCTTACGGTATCAACGATGATTATTTTCAATCTAATACATAAATTTTCCCCTACGTTGCTATCTGGGTATCACTTAAATTCTTCTGTCTTTATGACTCTTATTGATTTGACGTAATCCCATGTAGTATATTCTTTTTTTCAAAGATATTCGATGTCAATCCCCTTGAAGTGATTGGATTTCAAACATATGTACTGAAACGCCAACCGGTGCATTAACTCCGTGTAGCTTATTGACATCAGGAAAGTTGACACAGAATCCGTTTTAGCGCCCGTGCTAGGAGTGATAGGCGGTGGTATGTAGGGCTATGTAGTCTATATACCGACTCTTAGTGACTCCGTACTTACCTATCCTACCTAGTGCTACCTAGCACTATAGGGAGTTTAGCGCGCGTGGCACACTTTGCTGATGTTCTTAAATTCTTTTGGGAGAAGAGCTTAGCTAGTTGGTCGAAAAGTAACAAAAGCAGTACCTCAACTATCAATACTATTGATAAAAATAACTGCCCCAGAGAGGCTCGAACTCTTGAACTCTCGACCTTCCGATCACAGTCTTCTAAAAGATAGCAGTCAGACCTATAGCCAATTAAGCCATGGGACATACGCTCACACACACCATAGGTGCTAGTATCCAAGCCAGGCTAAACCACGCACTCAAACAGCAAAAAGTACGTATGAGAATCAAGGAAAGGTATAATACATGAGTGTTAGCGTTAAGCAAGAAGTTATTTAACTAATAAAATATCATCCAGCACGACTGCTTAGCGCACCTTCATTGGCAACCCATCCAGCGTCGCTCCAGTCGCCATAAGTAGCATCCCTGACTCTAACATATAGAATAGAGTCCATTCCAATTACCAAGACCGACAATGCACCGGGTGAATGACTGATAGGTGTAGGACGATAAGCAGTCTGTACCTTGAGATCCTGCCAGCCAGACCAAGTGCCTTTGATGCATCGCCTATGAAATACGGAGTTATTTAATCCTTTGACAATAAGATCGATATGGTCTGGATGGCAAGTGACGGCATCAACTGTTAAGAAAGGTCCAGAGGGAACCTCACTTAAGGATATGGTTCCTTTCCCTTAATATGGCGAGAGGATTAGAGATTGGGTGATAAAGAACTATAGTCACGGCTTACGGTTGGATACGCAATTTACGTGACCATTAATATCAATCCCGAATACGTCCCAGTGACCATCCTGATTAGAGACAGCCGAAAGAGAACTGCCCCAAAGCCCTGGGAGCTTTTCCGGTTTCGCCCACCCGGATTCTTCAGTCCAATGATAATGGTAAAGGCACCCATCAAGATGGCCAATTGCGAAGCAAGACACTTCACCTTTTCCTGCACTCACGGCAGCCGGAGTGCCGCGAAAGGTTCCTCCAAGTGATTCGTAAGTTGATTCACTTGGTGTGTAAGCCACGCCGTTCCAAGACTTGTAGTACAGGCAATGGTCTGTGCCAACGTGGAATATATGCACAACTCCACCCTTGCTCTTTGTGACGGCTGGAACATCTGGTAAACAGCCACCAAGAATCTTGAGAGGTGTGACAGTGTCGGGTGCACCTGGATTGAAGTTCAGTTGGCACAGGCCGTGACCGTTCAAATCAACGACGAAGACGCTAGTTTCGTTTTGGATACGAGAAACTGAGACAGGTTCGTACATCCATAAATGACCCGGGCAGCTGAGGACATTCCAGGGCTTTGTCCAGGCACTGTCGTTCCCGGGTGTGTTCTTTTTCCAATAGACTTCGGAGTTGTACCCTAAACAGAAGGTCCTCATTTGACCGGGAGCGGGTGATGTCATGATGGATATGAATTGATTCTTCTAAAACGGGTCTTCTAATGAGCCATCTTTATTATTTCTTGAGAGAAACAAAGAACTTACTATAAGAAGGCGCAATTAACTCCGGTTAATGAGCAGTATACAAGTCTTCGCGCTTTTATAACGTTCAGGTGCTGTTAGACGATCAACAGTCATGGACGCATGTATGCAAAACGTAAAACGTAAAACATTTATTGAGGCGGCACAATGGCTGATTATACGTATGCCAAGGGATGTCCCGTTCATCAGTTAGTATTAATACACACGGAGATTGAACTTATAAAAATTCAATTGATCGTCAGGACATCTTGGCGCTGCTTACCATCATTGCATGAAAGCTGTGTTACTGTTCCTACGCTTTATACATCTGACGCCATAATTAACGGCTAAAATTAAGGCACCGACACCTACGCAGTACGCATGCAGGGGATCCTTGTTCAACATAGTTTCGCCGGAATTAATCTAATCCATCAAAGGCGTATTTATTGATAGTAAGATGATACAGTTAAACGTTATGAAAAAATACTTACCGTGCCCTATAGATAAATAAATCAAACTCTTTCCAACGCGTCAATTTTAATTGCAGCTCAGAAGAAGAGGAGGTCGTTAAAAAAAGAAAGCGAGCAACGATATGAGTCTTTTCCGTGGAGGTATCAGGTTCTAACCTAACTCTAGCCGCAGAAAACGCCCAAAAGTACCTACCGCCAATTTTACATCACCCATGCGCTTTCATAAAGTAAAGGATATACCGGAATTTTCCACGGGAATCGCCAAAGGCAGAGCGGGGCAGACTTTGGCGCACCGGCGTAGCACGGCCCCGCCATACGCGGGCCGGCAAGCCTCCCTTCTCGCGTTCGCCAATTTTGTTTTGAATAATGGCAGGATTAGGCTGGATAGTTCGTTATCCAATCACGTTTTCGCCAGTCCGTGAAGGTCGATATAAAATCTCGAGGATTTGATGCTATGATTCACAGTAATATCCCCTAGTTCAAGGTATGTTCTATCAGCTTTACCCGGTATTATCAATGGAGTCTGACCTGCTTTAGATGGTTTCCGTCCAACCAGGCCACATTAGTATGCATTGCCTAGGAACAAACCATGGACTATTTCGAACATATAAAGGCCCCGAGCTTCCCGATACCAGTCAACCAGCCGCCTGGGCTAGCGAATCCAAGCTCGGAACATGGTGTTTTTCACCTGTCGTCATCTCACGAATCAAAGACGAATATTCATGTTTTATGGTAGACTGTAACCACAAACTCTGTCAATCTGACTTCGACCTTACCTCGACAGTTGGAATGCAGCCGTTTACAGTCCTGGGAGGAGAGCTTGGATCTCAGCCGATTATTTGCAGTCGCGCAGGCACACTTCATATCTTCCACGTTGGGATGGATCATGCGATTTACTATAAGGCTTGGGATGGTGTAAATTATTATCCGAAGGATGGGTTTGAACGACTTGAAGGGTGTTTCCTTGACGATCCGGCTGTCGTCTCTTGTGGCGAAAGTGGAGTGGCGGTATTTGCGATTGGAGCTACGACTGGGAAGTTACATCATTACCAATGGACGGAGAAAGAAGGATGGAAGCTTCAGGAAGACGTTGAAGGAAATTGGAGCGGAGCTTTGTCCGCCGTTAGTCTCAACGACGGGTGCTGGGAGGTCTTTGGACTGGATCTGAAAAGCCACATTATCAGAGTCAGTTATTCCAAAGATGCAGACGGTACGTACAAATAAAAACACCTAATTTTATACCACTAACTCGTGACGAAGGCAAAGGGACTATTAAGCGTATGAAACTGGAAGGGTCGTTCAAAACTCTTTCAGTATTAGTCTCTGCTAAGAATCGCATCGACCTCATCGCACTCGATTGGAACTGTTCTCCCTACCATAAGTCGTGGGATGATGGTGACGAAGGAGCATGGGAACATATTGTAGGTCAACTTCGGGAACGGCCTTGGCTGGTATGTGCCCGTCCTGGCGGTGTGTGCTTGTATTCCGTGTCATTTGGCTATGTCCCTGCTGTAATGGTAAGGAATCCCTCCAATGGAGCGTGGGATGGATGGCATTTTATTCAGGGAACTGTCATTGGAGGAGTTGCTTGATCCAGTGCTTGTAACAGGTACTTATACTGTATAACGATAGTTGAAGGATTTCTTGTGCACAAATTAAAGTGCCTTTGGTGTAGCAGTCCGAATAGCGAACATCAGCGGGAGCCATCGTCTGTTCCTTGGCGCAGCTGGTAGAGCGTTGGTTTCATAGATTCTTATGAAGGCGGAGACGCCTCCAATCCAAAGATCGCCAGTTCGAGCCAGGCAGGGAGCAGCTTGTTTTTGCATCGACGTGAACATTTTACACACTTGACGATCGACCGCCTTTTTGAGTCTTTATAGGTTCGGGCTGGCGGTTTCTCATCTATGAGGACGACTGGAACATATTGGGCCTTCCTATTGTCAGAAACAGCCAATTTACAGTGGTAAATGTGACGCTCTCGTCAGTTGAAGATGAAGCATAAAGATGACCCACATGTTCCTTTTCCAATAAAGTTCGGAGCTGAACGCTAAGCAGAGGGTCCTCATTTATCCGAGAGCGGGTGATGCCACGGTATGAATGATTCTTCTAAAACAGAGTTTATTTATTATTTATTGAGAGACACAAGAGCACTTACTATAAGAATTAATCTTTGTGTATAAGTCATGGAGATTTTATAACATCCAGCTGCTGTTAGACGTTCAACAGTCTTAGACTGATGTATGCAAAACGTGAAATCTTCCTTGAGGCGGCATCAATGGCTCAGGGCATTATACGTGCGGCGAGGAATGTCTCCTTCATGAACCAGTAACAATCAATACGCACGGCGATTGAACTGATAAAATTAAATTGATTGTCAGTGCATTTCGGCGCTGATGACCATGCACTGCATGAAGCATCGGTTGATCTTCCTATCTTTCATACATCTAACACCACAATTAACGGCTGAAATGCTGGCACGAAGGCATATACAATACGCATCCATGGATTGGATTTCGACGTATTTTCATCAGAATTTATCTAATCTAGAGCGAAAGGCGTATTTGATGATAGTAAGAAGACGCAGATAAAAGTTAGGAAAATACTAACTCGAACCTCTGAATAAATGAATATTTTAATTGCAATTCAGAGGAAGAAGAGATCGTTAAAAAAGGGAATTGAGCAGCGCTGTGAGTCTTATTTATGGATATCTCAGTATCAGGTGGTATGATGGAGTCCGTAAAACGCCCACCTATGGCTCATTCGGCATCAGATGTGGGCTTTGGCAACGTAATGAAGATGCATACCTGAATTGATGTGGGCTTTGGCGGAGTGATAAAGGTGCATACCGGAATTTTCTACAGGACTCGCCAAAGACAGAGATGGGCATACTTTGGCACGTGCCATACGCCCGGCAAGCCTCCCTCCTCCATCAGGAAAGTTGGCAAATGCTACAGAGGCTATATAGCGTCCATAGACACCGTAGCCTCTGTAATTTATGTACACTATGGTAGTCTCCATAGATTCCCTAGAAGTCTGGTGATTTTGCGCTATGCTAGCGGCTGTGAGTGCTATGAATAACTATATAGAGTCTCTAGCTTCAGTAGCCTCAATAGTGCCATGTTTATTTACTAATTTTCCAATTTAATATCCATAATTTTTGTGCAGGATTAGGTAGATGTGTAAAATTGATATATAATGTAGCTAAACACAAGAGGGACTAATAGTAACTTCTACATCTGTGGATCAGATAGAACAAGTAAAACCG